CAGAACTGAATAACGGCGTGCAAAACGTAATTGGAAACTTTACCCCCTGACGCACTTGTTTTCTTTAGTGATGAGGCACAGTTTCACCTATCCGGATATGTCAGCAAGCAGAATATGTGCTGTTGGAGTGGTAACAATCCCAGCGAGCTCCATGAGAGGCCACTTCACAGTGAGAAGGTGACAGTATGGTGTGCATTGTTGGAGTTGGAGTTATTGGCCCTTATTTTTTTGAAGAAGACAGTCATGCAGTTACTTTCAATTCACAGCGGTATGTGGACATGATTAAAAACTTTTTCAAACCAGCTCTTGAAGAAATGTATCTGGGAAATGTCTGGTTCCAATAGGATGGTGCCACGGCCCACACAGCTGGAGCTTCGATGACATTTTTGAGGACAAAGTTCCCCGGATGGCTCATCTCGCTTCAAGGTGACATCCGTGGGCAGCGCACTCACCTGATCTAACTCCCTGTGATTTTTTTTATGGGGGCATCTCAAGGCAGAGGTTTTTAAATGTCGCCCCACAAACCTGCTTCAGCTGAAGAATGTTATTCGGCAGGAAGTAGCCCAAATTCCGGTGCACATGTTGGAATGTGCAGAGGGGAACTCCAGAAAATGGTTGCATCAGTTCATAGAGAACCGTGGCCACCACCTTCAAGATATTTTGTTTCAAACTTCATGATTTAAAACTTTAGAGTATGTTCTTTCATTAGCTAAACATAAATTTTGTCTATCAGCAGTAATTTTTCTTTTATTTGCCTTCAAAAAAAGGAAGTTTCTGCACCCCACCTGTAGTTCTATCAACAGGCCGGCAGAAATGGATGGTGGACTTTAATATTGGCAGCATATGCATGTTTCTCCCACTCTGCTAGCATCTTTTTCAGTAAAAGCTTTCTTTTCACATGTGATGTATGCATGAAAAATTGGATGAGTTTGCCTGTCGAATTTTATGCAAGATTAAGCACAGAGCACTCAATGGTATGTGAACTGTAGTACTGAGTTGGAAAGACATTGGCTGTAGCACTGGATTAGGTGGTGGGTTATAAGTGGAGTTTAGTTTCTCAAGTGCTGTTGGAGTTGACATTGTGGTGACCTGATTATAATTTTTATTGTGACAGATCATTATGCAATAAAAATAGGCAGGGTGAGGACAGAAGTGTAAATAAAATAGGAGAAAGTAAAGTGATTCACATCCAGAGTAGGTAAGTGGAGATTAATGTGCACAATTTTATGAAGAAAGTGGCTGACAGTGGCAAGGTGATCAACATGAAGCAGATACAAACCCATGTAAGATTTATGGCTTCCATGACAGAGAATTGCGCCCAAAACTTCTCAGGCCATCAGATGCATCAGAATGTTAACACAAGTGTTTCAGAGGTATCCATCAACAAGGTTGATGTGGGAAATGGCAGGTGGAACCATTTAGACCAGGTGTAAGGAGCACATGAGACGCATATGTGTGTGGACCAGTCAGAGAAATTAGCAGTGGCAGAATATAGATTTTAAATAATATACAACATCAAATTCAGCAGTACCACCATAGGGGGATGGAGGTGGTCCCAGATATGTTGGTAGTTTTTAACCAACTGACGCAGCTGACAGCCCAAGAAGATTTTACCAACTTCAGCTGCCATGAGAGCTTTGGATCTTATATCAGCTTAGCATGTTTCACAATTTTATAGATGTATATTACTTTTGGCCCTTCTGTAATGGAGGTTATACACAACAGTTTTTCATTCCGGCATTCCCTTTCAACATCAGAAATATGATGTCATGTGAATGTCTGACCTTTTTTTTATGACATTCATATTGTTATCAAGACACACTATTAAATTGACTTCTTACAGTATTGTTTGGAATCTCACTTCATGTGTGTTTACCAAGTTCATTCTATATTTAAGGTGTATAAATAGAAACATATATTTGTGTGCGTTTTTCTGTGTTTGTCTACAGGTAGAGGCCTTGCGACGAGCTGATCACTCGCCCAAGGAGTCCTACCGAATGTGTAAGATCTAGAAAACCGAAATGAACAGAGTTCATGGAGGTAGGCCAAGGCTCACTGGGGCTGTAGTGCCAAGGGAAAAAAAATGGAAACATACGTGGGGGATGTCCTGTCTGTATAGGTGATATTTACGTACACTTCACACACAAAAGAATATCTCTGGATTGATGGCATGAATACTGGTCTTCTTGCACAGATCTCTAGCAGAGAGCAAATTTTTATTGTATATGCTACATGCATGCAAGGGGTTAAAAATGTATTAATTCTAAATGCTTAATTTATTTTTAAGTTGATAATAAATTGTGAATGCTTACATTCACTACAAAATGAAGGATGACTCAGAATGAAGTTAAATCCTAGCTTTTGATCAAACTCGTTCTTAATAATTGATAGTGCCTCTTGTAATGTCCAGGTCAGTCTGGCTCCAACTTCTGCATATGAAAATGTTTGATGATCATCTTTCGTTCAGTTACCAAATGCATAAGCATGAACTGTATTCTGTTGTTAAATTGAGCAAGCCACAATTCAGAATATTCAAAACTTGCTGTTCTTTTCTGACTATGGCCATTTTGTTCTTTTGTTGCTGCCATAACACCCAGGTCCTAACTTGATTCAGTTGATATGACATCTGTTATGAATATGTCACCAGAAAGAGTATTAGTTTCTGTGTAGTTTATTGCAGTGAAATTTGCTGAGGAACTATAGTCCCTCTGTAATGGTACTAAAAATTATTAGTACCATTACAGAGGAAGACCACAATTCAAGGTGCAACCATGCCCATCAGTGCAAACAGAATTACTTATGGTTGGAATTTACTGTTTGACGAATGTTCAGAACAAATTATAATTAATGCGCAAGATGGCTGTGGTAGCTGCATCTCAAGCAGCAGTGTGAAAAAGAAGATGAAATTAAATTGAATTGAAGCTTTTTTTTTTTATTGTCAGAGATGAAGGCTGCCATAAGCACAATCCATACTTCTCAGACTGAGTCTGAGGAAACCACCAGTGTATGAATAGAGGGTCTCCATGAGGAACTCAGCATAGAGATCCAAGGGACATGGATTGGTACATGAGCGACGACAATGCTGGTAGAAGCCATGCATTGGGGGCTTGAGACAAAACTGGTGGATGTTGAAGCCCTGGTGGGGTGTGGAAGCAGCAGGCTGAAGCCACTGATGTTCAATGGGTCCATGTCCTGGACTGTGTTTGTCACTAATTTGAGGCCTTGGAGAGAGACAGCAACTAGACAGCTTAGGAGAAAGCCATGCATCTGCTCGTTGTGGTGCAAGGGCAGTCTACCAACATACTGCACAATGTCCCTGCAAAAATGGCTTGCAGAGACATTGTTGAGGCACGCAGAACTGTTATAAGGACCACTTGGCATACAGTTCCCAGCTGATGGTCAGGAACCAGCAGAATGACAAGTCTCTGCAGGAGTTTACCACTTGGCATTTGACAGCTTGGTGGCACCCAGTCAGAATACTGCCTGCAAGAATGGATTCTAGAGGGTTAGAATGTTTGTTCAGTTCCCAATGGTGTGATATTTTTGAGGATGGCTGAAGATTGCTGGGGCAGAAGCACACTAGGGGTACACCCTCTAGGGGGCCAAGCTGAGAGAAATGCATTTCTTACTAGGAAGCTGAAGGGAAGGCAGACTGGCCATAGCTGCAGGTTGTTGGAGCCATAGTGCAAGAGGTGAAGGCTGGACAACATCCAAAATGAAAAAAGTAAAACAAATAAAAAACATTATCAGTTTCAGCCCCACCTACAACAGTCATATCCAGTGTGTTGTTGTGAGGGTGGCCATAGACATAGCAAACCCCATGTAGAGAAGGTATTGGTAATACATCTTGAGGTACTGGCTCCTTACCAGCCTGTTTCTTGGGATAAGCAGCCATAAGAAGATAGCAGTGTGACGGGATGCATAAAATCCAAAAACCTCTGGATGTTAGGATTGCAGAAATGTCACAGAGATGCCTCTTGCTTGGCAGCTGCATGATGAAGACATATCCCCAGCAACAGATTCAACAGATGGGTAACTGTGGAGTCATTGTGTAACCACCACATGTGAAATAGTCAGGAGCTGCTGCAGGCGGGGTTGTCTAGCCAGTCTACTGCACAACTGTAGTCAGTGGGGGGAGTCCGCAGTGATGGTGTGTGACAATGGAACACAGAGGAATCAAGCTAGGGGAGCCAAGCGGATAATTGTGTACAATTGTGTTTTCTTTTAAACAGTTATAGATAGGAGGAATTAGTGTCAAATCCATTTCTAGCCCTACCACATTATATAGTTACCACATGTCAATACATTATTAGTATGCATTTTGAGTGACTTTGTCATTCAGTATCTGACATAATATTGCTATATCTGTCACTCCTGCTCGCCTAAACCTTGCTAAGCAAGCTTGGGATGGATGCATGGGAATGACTAGTGCCCGATAGAACAATCCGCTTGCTGAGGGAAGGTTTTGTGTGTGTGTTTGTGTGCGCTCGTGCGTGCACATTTTTCTGTGTTTGTGTACAGGTAGAGGGCTCAGGACGAGCTGATCACCCATCAAAGGAGTCCTACCGAATGTCTAACATGTAGTAAACTGAAATGAAACATAGAGTTTCATGGAGGTACGCCAAGGTCCAAATTTGGGCTGTAGCTCCAACAGAAAAAAAGAAAATTTAATGTCTGTCTGCAAAGTAATATTCACATCTTTTATGCATCACACTTTTAGACATGAATTTGTGATTGAAAATGTGTGCAGTTATGTGAGAAAATAGGGTATCTGTGTCATAATAATTCAAAATTAATGTTTTGTCCTTGTAGGATTGTTGTTTTAAAACACCAGTAAAGTGACTGTTGAATTGTAACTTGTACGTCTTTAGATGTTTTGCCAGTGTTGAATAATAGAAACATTTTATTTGCAGGTTTCAGAAGGTGAGAATGTGGTGCCTGTCCTCTTAGAATTGCATCAGCTTCGAGTACTAGATATATCTGATGAGAAGGATGCTCACCCCTTTGAGATGTTCCATCCAACACGGACATGTATTGCTGAGTTTCTCAAATCAGAAGGCTGTATGGTACACCTGACTCTTCTTGATATCTCTGGTGAGTCAGAAGTTGTGGTTTTATTCTCACATATGTCCTAGCATTGCAGTTAGATCTTATTCGAGAGAAACCAACCCCTAAGCATCTCATTCTGTGCACAGGCTGCAAACAGTACAATAGACCTCCCTGTATTTCGGGTAATCTGTTCCAGAGGTGAATGACTGTCATTTTTGCTAGGCTTTGTGTAATATCTTCATCCTCAGTGATAGGTTTTGTGTGCTGCTATGATTATTTTGGTGTCCAAAGGAACTGTAACAAGGTGTGAGTCAGACTTTGCCCCCCCTCCCCCCCCCCAATTGTAAGTGACTGTTCATTTAAAGCAGAATTAACAAATCTAGCAATAGAATTTCATGACACATCCACTCCCAGACAACACATTTTCTGTTCTCAAAAATTGTGTTTACAGTTTTCTCTTTAGAAGTAACAGAAAATTTCGAAAAACTATCATTACATTAGGGCTTCCTGAGAGATGAAGGAACAGGTAAACATGTCAAAACAGTAAGAACTCAACAGAATATGAACACATAATCCTTTGAATATAAGAGAAAAGTATCCAGTAGGAGTTATATGAAGTAGAGTGGCGATAAATACTGCACATCATTGTGCCATGTAAATATGCCTGGAGCAGCCTTATTTGGAAATGAACTCAGCAGAGCTAATGCTACTGAAATCTCAACTGGAAGTGGGCATACTAGACCAGCTGCCCATCTAAAGGAGAAAAGTCTTCTCTAGACTGTACAGAGTGCAGCACATATGTAAGCAGGGTTATATTCACTTAAATGAACAAAAAGTCCCAGTCATTATATGTCCAGAAGTCAGTGCCTCTCAGGATATGGGTAAGTTTTCTAGAAGTTCACATATTGAGAAGAGTGGAAGAAGATCCCGGAATCAATGTGAGAAGAAATGCAGCTGCTGAAGGGTTTGGTGCTCCCCTCGCCTGGAGAATTCTTCACGAACAGTCACTTAACTATACCACCTCACCACTCGTAAACTGCTGCTTTTTCATAGCGTTATCCCTGTAAACTTGCAATAACATCTCTCTCACTTTGCATCCACTCTTGCCAGATTTAACAAGAAATTTAATGTTTGTTCCAACATTCTCATGACTTCACACCAAAACACATTCAGACAATAATAGATGCCACTCAGAAAGAGATTGCCATAGATCAACAACAACACAGCTGTGGAACACTGATGTACCAACATCATAAAACCATACTGAGGTTACTGTCCATTGCTTCCACGACAAGTGCATGATGGCAAGTTCACGTGCTTTTTTTGTCGGACCTCGTATGTTCTTTTTCTGATTCTGGAGTTAAATTAGGTATCACATTTTATCAAGAAAATGGTAGATTTCTCTCAAAATAATTTCTTGCAGGAAAAGATGAAATCAGCATACCGGATCTCAGACATTTCTTAGGATGTCACAGACAGCTGAAATTTTTGGGATTGATCCACTCTGAGGCCTGTTACGATGAAAGCTTTGTCAACCCTCACCATCCAGATTACAACCCGAATCTTGTGGTGAGTTCTTGTTGACATTTGCAAATTACTCATTTTTACAGATTGTGTTTCTAGTTAGAGATACACAATCTCTGTACACATGATTACCCATGCTGTTGAAGAGGAAAGAACGCACAAATAACAGAAAGCATGAATAATCCAGCCGTAATCTTTGGGTGTGGTTGGTGACAATGGTAATCATTGAATATAGATATCTGAAACATTTGAAGCACGAATAAAGGAAATAGTTTCAGGATGTGCATGTACAGTGTGTCCACAAAGTCCCATCAGGGTTTTGAAAAATGGTGGCTCACAAACAAATTGAGCTAGCCACATGCAGTTTGTGGCAGATCACAGTGAAACTCTGGAAGTTTTTCCTGACCTCTGCAGACCTCGATGTAGGCTCCCTTGGTAGCATGGACGATATTTGAGCTCTTGCCATGTTCTGCGGAGCACGTCTGCTGGAATAGCCGAGATTGCTTTCCTGATACGGGTCCTCAGGTCATCAAGTCCGTTAACTGGTGTTTGGAACACACTGCTCTTGACATAACCCCATAGGAAGAAATCCAGTGGTGTTATGTCTGATGAATGTGGAGGCCAAGGCATTGGTCTGTCTCTGCTGATCCATCTTCCTGGAAATGTCCTGTCTAGGAACTTGGATTTTTTCCTCTGGGGTTATGTCAAGAGCAGTGTGTTCCAAACACCAGTTAACGGACTTGATGACTTGAAAACCCATATCAAGAATGTGATCTCGGCTAATCCAGTGGACGTGCACAGAACATTGCAAGAGCCCGAATATTGTCTGAACATTCTCCGTGCTACCAAGGGAGCACACATCAAGGTCTACTGAGGCCAGTAAGAAACCTCCAGAGTTTCACTATTATCTGCCGCAAACCACATGTGGCCAACTCAATTTGATAGCTCGCCACAATTTTTGAATGGGACTTTGTGGACACACTGTACATGCACATCCTGAAACTATTTCCTTTATTCGTGCTTCAGGGGATTTAGAAAGCTATGTGGCTGCTTAACTTCTGTCTTGTCCTTATTGGCTGGTTCCATATTCTTACTTACCAGTTTCACTGTTATAAAACTCAAATAAGTACCTGTTAATTATATAACACGTGACATTTTCTGTACTTGCAGAAAAGTTTACAGTTTTGTTTAAATATTATGTCACCATCTCAATAACAAAATTTAGTATCATGCTATTAATGAAGAATATCATAAATGAGATATATTGTAACCGGTCCTACTGATCACACTATATGTAATGGGTGAGCACTGGTTCTCCTCAGGGTCGTTTTACAGGCAATGGGTAGGTTTGCCTGATTTTATTAATTCTATAAAATGCCTTTATGTTACTCCAATGTGAACTGATTTATTTGTAATTTAAACTATTGTTGCTACAGGCTGACTGTGCGGAAAAATTTAATCTTGAAGGTTGAAAGTTCTGTGAAACAGTTTTAATAATGAGTTTGGAAGACAGTTCAGAATTCTAGTGTAGGTTAGAATGAGTAGAAAATTCAAACTTCAGTTTGAAGTTCAAAATTGTAGTTATAGTGAAGAAAATGTTTGAGGTTAAAGGGTCTTTATTCATACATTTCCTCCTGAAGGCCTTGTACTCCATCGGGCCTTTATGGTTAGAGGCCTAGTTGACATAGATGAATTATTACTCATTGATTATATTGATATTGGAATTCGTTTTGTGGATTGTAAGTTAACCTCTATTTTAATATTCCACATATCCAGTTCCAAAAAATAATGCTTTCATAAATTTGGAATGATATAGAAGGACGCAACAGGTGCAGATTCATAACTGTGAATAAGCGATCTGTACATTTGAGTTTAACGTATCTGAAGAGATGGTGACTGTGCCCAAGAATTGAGTAAGAGTTGGTGATTATTAACACTTTGCGGTCCGCGCGCCCTTTAAAAGGTTTTTCGCTTTTAAACGTTGCGGACCGGTGGCATATCATTATGACTTTAGGACACATTATGTTGAAACACACTATACCTTGCTCTGGCGCCACGCCACTGCACTGAATACTGCATAATAAATCTTCGGAATGTATGCTAGGTATTCAATAACTTGACCTGGCTTGCTAGGGTCCCTACTCCAAAAGAAAATTAACTTTGCCCCTTCCAGCTGTTTATGTACCAGGCAGAAATTAGTAGAGGGGAATATGTTTCAAGGACAAAAGCGGTTGAAGGCAAGTGATCTCTCGGACTTGTTTATGGAGCTATCTGACATGCCTTGTGGAGGAGTAGTGATTAGTGACTCAGACAGTGGAAGTGACAGGAGTCAACAAAGAATTGTGGCCACAGGTAATAAAAGTGAAAGATGCCTTGTGGCTTATAACTTGTGCCATTTTCAATTCATTTTTGGTTTACAAAAGTCTAAACCCTGATTCTAAATTGAAATACAAAGCATTTCTGATGAATGTGGCAAAGGCTTGGGCTACAGACCAGATGGTGGTGGCAGAACCAGAGTCAGACAGACTTAGTGCGACCTAGCCCATCAACTCCCACCCCACGCAGGCCTCATGTGGACACCCCTGGGCGACTCTCGGGTGATATGCAGAAACATACCCTCGTGAAAATTGTGAAGAGTGAACATTCCAAGGGGAAGCATCCTTCTAGGCAATGCCGTGTTTGCGCAGTTCACAAAAAAAGGACTACAACTGTCTACATTTGAAAATGTATAATGCCACTTCAAAAAGGGGAATGTTTCCAGGAATATCAGACTTTCAAGCACTTCTAGGAGCATTGGTAAGTGTTCTCCAAAAATTATGGTTCATAAAATTAATTCGGAGATTTTATATTAATTTTTAAAGTGAACAGTGCACAAGTTAGGGTAGTAGGTATAAAAAGTCCGGTCCCCAGGGTGATTTAAATTTTTAAATCGCCGGTCTGCAAAGTGTTAATATACTTGCCATTCTTTATGAGTTGTTATTAGTTAGGCCTTCTGGTCTATACCCATTCAGAATTAATTCAGAAATACTGAATCCTTTCATTTCTTCTATGCTAAAGATGAAGGCAGCACAACACCCTAAGACTGCTACCTTAATGAATTCTTTAGACATTTGATAGTAATGAGTGGATGAGAGTTTAGCTGATCACAGAGTTTGCATTTCATTTGTCCTAAACCATGACAAATCCCTTATATTTCCATTGCCCAGTCAGTGGTGTCATGATAATCCAGAAGACCTCAAGAAGGTGCCACACATGTTCAGTTTCAATCTTCCTCTTTGTGAAAGATGTGCAGAATATTGGGTAGGGAAATATGTTACCAGTATTCAACACTGTGGTGTGTTTAGGTGAAAATAAGGAGCAAAGTGATCTCCTTCCCACTCACCTTGATACAAATATCCTAGCAAAATGCCTTCAGTAATCATATGATCAGTTATAAACAGATTTCCTGGTTTTTTGCGTGTTATTGAAGCCCCTTATATAAAAATATGATGGCTTCTAATTCATGAGATATATTAATTGAACATAAGAATTCTAGAAATATAGTGGATGTAGTAGAAATTCCTTGCACCATTCAGATGTCTTGTTACCGAGGCAAGCAACATGACTTCATTGCTGTTTTAATTTGAGGTCAAACTACTCTACATTATTTATATTAAAATCAACTAATATATGCGAACACAAATTTTCATTAGTTTTGGACTCCTGATTTGTAAACTTGTAATTGTTTTGTACATATTATCATGTATCTTGGGTTCCATTAAAGATGATAATCAGTTCTGGATTGGATAATTGGATTTATTGGCACTTCTTTACAATTACAGTCAGCTATAACAACTCGCAATCAGTGACTAACTGGAACTCCCTCTGTCCCTTGCTGGACTACAAGTGTCTTCTATTCCACTTTGACTGACTTGGTTCTGATTTATGAATCTGTCACTTCTTCAGCTTCCATTGTCTGCTGGTTAGCACTCAACAGCTGAACATTCAACTTCTGAATTCTGAACTGAACTAACTTCCAGGCGGAGTGAATATAAGTCACCATGTACTACAGTTCCTCTGTTATTCTCTTTGTATCCATTGCCATGAGAATGTGCTTACCTAACCATTGTTTAGTAATGGATTATTTCATGGCTGTTTGTTGCAGCGGGAACATGCTCACCGAACCGTTGCCTAGAAGTGGCCATATTTATTACAGTATTTAAGCACTGTAAAATTTAAGGAAATTGAAATGTATAAGATAAATCAAAATGGTCTTTCAGAATTAGTTTTATAGGTATAATTATACTAATTTTAGACATTTAAATTAGTAATATTAATGAAACTTTGATGACCAGGTGACTGGTATTGCCACAGAGAGTCAGCTGTTGGAAGCCCTACGACGTTACACACATCGACCAGTCTATGTACAGAAGTGCTTGTATAACCTGTTCAGATTGACACCCAACTTTGGTGATGCCCGTGTGGATGTTATTCAGGTTTGTGTATGGAAGGATCCTGAAATTCCAAGAGCATATATCACAGTTATGAGTAAACCACTATCAATATTAATAAAAGTATTTTTGTGCTTGTTATTTATTTGTAACCATTTGAGGCATTCCTTTGTGAACATAGTGCAGAGCCGGAAGCAACATTTATGATAAAAGTCATGATTTTTGAAGCCTATGAACAGCTGATGCAGAGGTGTCAGAATTCTCATTGTTTTCTAGTAAATAAGTGTTTTGTTTATGAAAGCATGCAGGCTTAAATTTCTGCTGCATCTGTGCAAGGTTTTTGACATAATACAGCTACAATGAGTTACATTGCATGTAAAGCCCAAGGAGTTAAGCTGTATCTTTAGGAAACACTGCATGGTCCTGTGAAGATTTTAGATCTCAGCCCATTATGTTTTATCTTTGGCAGATAAAATTGTCTTGTTAAATGTATTCTCAGCTGGCTGAATGGTAATACACTGTTCCATTGTTTCATCATGCTATTACAATTTATTTATATTTCCAAGAATATAAGTGTTATTGACCTTGCATATCTAAAGTGCTTCTTTAGGGTCTAGGAAGTCATCACAAATATTTTATGTATGAGTTGTCCACTTCTAAGGGGTTATTTTGATTACCTCATCTCATGGGGTTCCAGAAGTCTTGAAATATTTATAATTATCCTCATGCATCTATTCTTAGTTTGTTGTTTTATAAGGTCATGTCACACCAATACACAGTTTTTTACGCACAACATGTTGTTTCTGTGATTTTAATTTCTTCATAGTTGGTGGAATCTTGCTTATAAAATTTCTTACTCTTAGTTGGGGCACTGTTTGTCTGACGATTGTTGACCCGGCACTTTGTGTTCTACAGCATTAGCATATTTCACATAAAGTCCCTCAATTAACTGAATTCTGATTGACAATTGATCTATTCTTTTCCTTGTGCTATTCCTACATATTATCATCGCATTCAGAAATTTTCTTTTTGTCCCTTATAGTTTTGCATATTTTCCCAATGGATGTTTGTACTATTCTCGATTCTGTCATTTACCACAGAATCGAGAAAAGCACACACATCCATTTTCAGTGTCTGATTCCAAATCTGATAAAACTTTGTTCTGATTCGGTTTAAAGTAAAGATATTCTCCACTGATCATGACACAACACAGCTGACCACTTCATTCCTTGCGGCTGGCCTTGGCTAACCAGACTGCATGATGCTTATTTATAGAACAAAGGGGAATTACAGTAGTACCATTCATATAGTGAACTGTTTATCAATTGCTACAGTAGCAGTCATAACACACTTCTTAGAGGCAACATCATGTCTCAAAGTCGTAGATTCTCTCCGTGTCTTCTTGTCATTACAAATACCAATGTTGAAGCAGCACTGATCAGAATATGCCCTAAGAGAATCGACTTTTCATTCGATCGACTGCTGGACAGCACACAGCATCGATCTAACATATTTAGTTCATAAGAATTCCCCTAGGCAGAGGTAGGTTTGTATGGTAACAAGCACACCAAGTGTTGAAATAGAAAACTTTTTCAAAGAATTCAAATATGTTACAACTCCCACAGGAAGTTCAAAGTGGGACAACAAATATATGAAATGATAGCCTGAAATTTCTTCTTTAATTTCGTACCAAAAGAGTTACTTTATGTGAAAAACAACGGTTCAAAATACAAGCTGAAACTTAGAGCTGCAATACGCATGCGAGATACGGAGCCTGTCGACATGTGACAGAAGCCATTGGCATGCCGGGTACAGAGCCTGGCACTGAAGGCTTAAAGTCAACTTGCCTGGTTGATAACTATATCACTGGTTTAAAGCATGAATACTCTTCATGTCCAGTATATGCTGTTGTCAGTAAGTTCACAATAAAGATCCACAGATACGGTGTTAGGGCATGGCATGCGGTATTTCACAGTCCTTTGTCCCATCACTGTGCTTATTTCTTGATTGCTGTATCCATGCCAAACATGGAGAGCGTATTAAAAAATAAAGGACGCAGCAGCCCATGAAGAATTTTTGGTTAAATTCAGCGGTAGAATAAAAGCTGATGTATTTAGAAAACAAAATTCAGTGTTTGAGATACAGACACATTCAGTCATAAAGGAGAACGTTTTGGCACAGGTATCTGTAATGAACAAAAAATAATGGAAGGCCACAGAACTAGATGGATTTAATACAGAATTTGTGAAGTAGGAGGGATCCTGAAATTGATACTTCTTTTCATAAACAGGTGTTGGCATAATTATGTAATTCACACTGTTGCTCACAGTGAACATAAAAGTGTAGCCTATTACAGCTTGTTATTAATATGTATTAGTGGTGTTATATGATTTGCGGTAAACTGTACATCTTATCCTAATGCAACTTTAATTGATTTCAATGCTGGCCTGCTGCCACTGAACAAGCGTTGCTTTCTTCTTTTGCTGAGATATTTATCCCGTTGTTTACTAACTGATAGACTATACTGCCTCCTGATAATTACAGGTTCTAACTTCACACACAGTTCAATTGATAGCACATTTACCCAGGTATAAGACTACAGTGTCTTAAAATTTTAAATTTAAAGAAAAAGGCATGTCATCTTAAAGTTAGAATTGGCCATGTTTTCCATTTCAGTAAAGTTCTGCATCTGTGTTTTATAATACTTGTTTATGTTCGAGAAATGCTTCTTGTATGAAATTGGAATATTTCATTGTTCACACAGTTTCCTCCATTGTCAGATATATATTTCACTAAGGCTGAATGCGTGTCCAATTGGTTTCTTCCATGTGATTTCTAACTGCCCCTTGGCCTCTGCATTTGGTGCCTCCTTTTTCTAACCACCCTTCACCTCACATTTGCTGCCACCTCTTTATAACTGCCCTTCACCTAATGTTACTGGGTGCCACTTTTTTATAATCGTCATTTACCCACCGTTGGTGGGCCATTTCTCTTTCTAACCACCCCTCACTCACCTTATTTACCCTTTTAGCTTGCCACATGTTCGTTGCTCCTTTCCTTTGTTGTTCTTCTTCGGTTGGGTACCAGTAAGCTCAACTGGTGTCAGCTTACAATAATTATGGATTTAATTAGGAGAGGGAGGTAAAGGAGATAGGTAACTAGTTCAGCTGTGGCTAAAGTTCAGATTCTTTCTCAGAGCGTTTGATAAGGGTCTCGCTTACACAGAGGAGGGATTAACATGATGCTACCTTTGCACTTAAACACAGTGATCATTTATTAGCAAGTTTACTCACTCATTGACACACAATTAATATGGTGGATACTTATATATAAGTCCTTATATAGCTTTAGTCCTGGTACACTAGACATTATCAGAATAGTTTACACTTTGGCTTGTTGAATTTAGGCTTTGTCCCGAACTGCAGTGATACAAATTTAGCCTCTCAACAGTTCACGAGTTGGTAGACAACTGAACTTGGCAACTGACTTCTCGGAAAACCCTGAGATCAGCGGTCGTCAGTTCCTCAGCTGAGTCACTCCCCCTTAATTCCACTGATTGAGTAATTTTGAAATCTAGGAATTCACACAGTTTTTGGATCTCCAATCAGCTAGCTGTAATGTGGGATTTTGATCCTTAAAATCCTAATGTCGTTTTTGACAGCTCACTGACAGATACCCTGCCTGGCGTGGGTCTCCAACACCCCCCCCCCTTATATTATGCTGCGCAGGAACTGTCAGAGATCGTATTCTCAAAGTTTGCCGCTGTGTTACATGCAGACAAAATTTCTAAGAAAAAGCCACAGGTGTGCTTCCTGTGTAACAGTAAGACTGGGGCCATGCCATAGTGGTTAGTTGCTGGCTTCCCACTGCGGCGGCCCGGGTTCGATTTTGGGTATGGTCAAGTGGGATTTGTGGTGGACAAAGTTGCGCTAGGGCAGGTTTTCTTGGGGTACTTCAGTTTCCCCTGCCACTCTTCATTCCACCAAATTCTCCATCATCATAATCACTTGGGGCAGGCTACAATAGGCCAATCAGTGGCCGCCATGCCAAGTGGACCCAGTTGGACTCCACCCCCCACCAAGGGAAAAAAAAACAGACTGGGAATAAGCCAATTCCTGCAAACAAGAAGGTGACAATGTTCCACTTGCTTCGCTATTGCTTGCTATCTGCAATTAATTCTTGTACTAAAGATTCTAATTATACCTGAAACTAGTGAGTGGCAGTGGAGTGGTTACAGATTCATGAGCATTAAATTTAAAGTTCATGTCATGGCTGCAGCGCAGACCTGTAAAGTAAAGTATAGGTATCCTTGTAACAGGCTGTGGGGGCCCATAGGGTTGTGAGATGTTGAGGTGCCCACATTTTCTAGACAATTGGCTCACAGATGGTGGCAAGGCTGTTAGCCATATGTGCCGGCTGCCCTTTACCCCCAAGAAGATTCCACATTGGCTGCTTCATTATTTTCAAACTTTTCACTGGACACGGAGTGATTATGATTCAGCTGCATTGACTCAGTTGTAATTCACTAGCTTTTGCCTTATCAGTGTAAATACCAACGATTTTTTCCATTGGTTTTGTATTCGAACAGTAAATACCTCTATTATCAGTCTACATATTGAGTGTAATTATTTACTTACCTGAGAGTCATAGCCCGCATTTCTTCAGGTTTTATAACTGCCCTCATGTTTCTATCACTCCTTTAAATGGTCTTGAACGTGAGACAGAAGTTCATCAAATGTGCTCACTTTAATTCTAAAGTAATTAAAGAACTCTGAAGGATCCTCTCATAGGGACATGTACAATGTGTAGAAGTGACCATCCTGATGTCTCACAGAGTTTATGGGATGAACCCACCATTTTCTTGTCTTCCTTGCTTTTAAATATAAATAAAAAAGAGAGGTGAATGCTACGCTTTCTTCTGGCGCCATTGCAGACAAAAAACTGTGCACCGCATTCTGCAACTGTGTGGTGTCCTCAGCAACGTCCGTCATAAAGTATGTGCGTTGCAATGGACGTACTTCATGCGCTTGTGTGGCCCCAGCCTAAATGGGCATTCTATTACAGGGTATAAACCAATATGAACTGCAGTCAATCTCCCAATATAAAGCATGTATGGTATTCCCAGTGATCACACTGTCATGTTTATACAGAACATTTAAGTGTCTTTATCATTTAAGATATTGAATTAAATTATCTATATAATATATTTTTTATGTCTGTACAGATTATTATTTGATACCTTTTCAGTAAGGGACTGGTTTGTCTTGGGTGGAATAATCATAATGATGATTATTCATGAATACTTCATGATAAAGAAAATCAATATTAATATTTTTGTTGAACAGTTGGTCCTGCCTGGAATGGAGGCACACCCTGGGCTCTTTGGTATACAGATGGCAGCTACGGCTTGTTTATATAACTTATCAAAGGGTGATTTGGCCCAAAAAATTCATCCTAAGATCCTAAAACAAGTAGTAGAACTCACACTTACTGCCATGGAGAACTTTCCAAATAATCACCAGGTGAGTCAAGTAATTAATTTTTGGTTCTTCTGGATATGTGATAAATACATCCCTGAAAAACATTTCGAAGCTGTAACACAATATAATGGACCCTTGGTGGCCTATATTAATGTCTGGATGAAGAAGCAAATTTTTATACTAACTTGACTTAAATGCGGTGGGTAGAAATAATTATTGAGATGAAATATAATAAAATTAGCAGTTCATAGATTAATTAGCAAAAAACAAAAAAAAAAAAAAAAATAANAAAAAAAAAAAAAGATTTATAGTAATTTGTAAACAATTTGTATGTGGTCATAAAATGAGTAGTATCTATTGGGATGTAACACCATGTAGCCCAGTAGAAGTTCACTGACATACTGCCCCCATATTCAAGGTTGAAGAATAACCCATGCAAGAAACCAGCATTAAGCAGGCAGCAAGCAGACGAAGTTTTGCCTGCCACCTACTTCTTGCTGGTTTCTTGCTTGGGTACTGAACTATTGCCTGAATAATCACTGTAATGGAGATGATAGGTTTTAAATATGTTAAAAGCAAATTAGACTGCATTGTGCTACATTCTGGGTGCTGAAGATTTATTTATTCCCAGTTTAATTAACAGTACTTTGTCACATGTATAAGTTGCATAGCTTTGAATGTTATTCACATGTTAAATGACACCTATAACAAAGTCCTGTAAGTAAGTATTGTATTCAGAATGGTGTGAAATAAGGAGATTCTATATTATTGTTGCTTTTTAACTTCCCTATACAAACACAATTAGGAAGTTCCAAGAAAATCAGGAAGGATTGAAATTTAATTCAGAGTATCAATTTCTTATCCATGCTAGTGACATTAATTTATTTGGCAAAATGTTGTAATGTTTACCATTTTTGTTTTTGGAACATGTGTGATCTCACTGCCAGTAGCTACTTAAGACATTGCTGTCAGCATGTCTGTGTACACTGCTATTTCAGTATACCATCACTGCTCTGTTCTGTCATTGTGTCTTGCAGTGAGCTCACTTAATATACACTGTATGCCCTATTCCATGTGTACTTTGATACACATCTGCACACTCACTAAGGTTGAACTCAGAGTTGTCTCATTTGAGGTTAGTGGCCCCTGTTTTATGCATGTAATATTTCCTGAATGGCCCTGTGTTTTCATGAGTGGATTGGGTGCTTGGCATTTCTCAAAGAGGCTTGAAGCAGGGAGGAGTATAGAACATGTGGTAACGAGAAGTGCGTGTGGGCTGGCATTTTACACGCACACACATAACACAGAGCATACTGTCTCCTCCTTCAGGGTTGAAGAATACACTAAGCAAACAAGCGGCAAGCTCCAACATCAGTTACTTTCGTGCCAGACTGTCATCTGGGATATGAAATCATAGTCTGGTAGAAATTTACTAATGTACTGCCTCCGTCTTCAAGGTTGAACAAGCTGGGTAAACATCCAGCAAGCAAGCTGCATTGTTGGTAAATTTCTACTATTCTACATGGTGTCACATCCAATAACTTAATAGTGTTATGTATTTGGTAACTGTAGACAGGGTTTTGATTGGTACTTGGATTTACTGGACTCCTATGAACTGTTTTGCTGATACACACAATCTACAAGTCACTACAGCATGCACTGAGTCTTCTCTATCTCCATTTGACGTCCAGTAACAGCTCTTAGCCATGTAGATTCCTCTGCCTCTGTGCCCACGCCTCCACCACCGGTTGGTAGCCTGAGTCTCAGACTTTCTGGCTTGTCCAACTGGCCTACTTATATATTCTCCACAAGGACTTAGTAGAGAATACCGCTTCCAGCAGTTCTCTGTTGTTGCATTTCTGTCTGTTACTGCAGTCACGTTAGTTGGTTTCCATGAAAACGTGTTTACAGAGTCATTCCCTAGTATTGGCCATCTCCTCTGGTTTTACTATTCCAGCTTTCAGCAGACATATCACATTACCCCCCCCCCACTTGAGTAGCCTATAGGCATACTGCACTTTCTTCTGGTCAGTTGGGACAAAACTCACAGAGCACAGACAGTCTGTTCTTCCGTTTGGGAGGGGTCGGCTCCTGCACAGCGCCCTGTCACTCACTTTCCACATTCTGATAGAGGAGCCAACTATTTGCTTTGCTGTCTCCAGTCCAAGGGTCTGCCTGGAAGGTTCGTTGAGTGGCGTCTTGCTTCCGTGGCATAGTTGCTGTTTCATGCCTCAGTCTCTTACGTTGTTGCTGCATGCTGGTCAAGTCTGTTGAATCTTCTAGAGTGTCAGTCCATTAAGAGTTTCTTGTACATCATCATCTTCGTCCGCCATTTCAGTGGATTTTGGTATCCTGTGGCTGGTTGTTGTTCCCCATTTTGATCCTCTAGTGCTCCACTAGTCTTCACTGTGGCCTTTTCATTAGATATGAGTGCTTCCTGATGCTCTGCTTTGGCTTCCATTTTCTTTTGATTGGCCTTAATCTTTCCTAACAATCCTCCGTTACTTCTCGGCAGGCTCCTGTCCCTACTAGCCAGGCATCCATCTTGGCTGGCGTCCATCATTTCTTGGTGGGCCTTCATTTCTTCTAAATTGGAATCCCTCCTGGCCAACCGGCATTCCATTATTTGACCCATTTTTGTAGTCTTTCAACGAAATTATCCAGTGCAGTTTTCAATCCAAAAAGTGAATCAGTCTGATCCTTTTGAATCCAGTTGTCACATATTTAATGACTAGACATGGGATTTGGATGGGTAACTGGATTTATTGGACTCTTACAAATTGTAGCTTTTTTCACTGATCTACACACTCTAAACATCACTACAGCATGTTTTAAGTGTTCTCTGGCATCACTAGGCATTGCATGGTAACAGCTTCCAATCACGTAGTTTTCTCCATTTCAGCACCTACATTTCCACCAGGGAGCAACAAGCACAGACTCTGAGTCAGACTCGCGCGAACTGACTGCAGACTCTGATTGGCTAGTAAATTGCTGCTGGCCTTTGCCAGTACAGTGATTCTCAGTTCTGAGTCCCATAGGTTTGCTACTTGGTCACAAGTTGATTGCCATGGAAGCTTGTTTGCAGAGCCATTCCCCAGCAAAGGCTGTGTCGCCTCTGGTTCTGCTATTCTGGCTCTCAGTAGACATGTCAATATTTTTTCAAGAACAAAATGAGTTCATATAGCATGAAATCAAAATCCTTCCAGCCTCACTATGGCCCTGGAGTCAGCTCAGACTTCAGCAAAAATGAGCAGTAGGAATCATCCTTGGGGTAAAGGGTGGCTGGCATATAAGGCCAACAACCTCACTTCCGTCTGTGACCCAATTGTCTACAAAAATATGGGAGCCTCAGCATCTTACAATCCTATGGGCCTCCATGGCCTGTTACAGGGATAGCTTTACGTTTTTGCAAGCAAGTTTTGTCAAGTCAGTTGTGCCCTGTATCACCTTACTTGTCACCATATTATGTTATTCCTGCCAACCCCAGTTTCTGTAACATGATTATGATGGTGAAATTGATTGCTCCAGTTTACATTTTTTGGCTCACATAGTTTCTTGCTATACATTTCATTTCTGATCATTCTGTACTGTAGACTTATAAGAGAGATATGGGTCATATTGCCAAAGAAAATATAGTGACAACCATTTTATAGTATTAATTTTATACCTTGTACTGGAAGGTCTTGTGTAGCTGAAAATCTTAAATTGTTTGCAGCTTCAGAAGAACACTTTACTTACACTGTGCAGTGACAGGATACTACAGGATGTGGCATTCGATAAATATCGCTGTGCTCGATTGGTTATGAACTGTCTGTGTGCCTTCGATGATCCTTCCATGAATAGAATGAGTGTTGCAATTTGCAGCATTCTTGGTGAGTTGTTCCTATGAATTCCTTACTAAAAGTTTGTGTATGTTGTATATTGTGTAGGTTTTACAAACAGCAAACTGTGACACCAGTGTTATGTACTTCACTATACTACACTAGTTGTTTATTTCTACTTTCAATTTTACTGGTATAAATTTGAGAATGAAAATTAATGTGCAAGTCAAGAATGATTTTTTTTTCTGTGTTTGATCTAAGAAATTTGAGACTCTCTCATACCTTGGTTCTTAGTGGCCACATGATTAGGAAAATAGATGCTGGAAGTAGTCTTGGGGATTATATGTTTGGAAAAAGTGATGGAAGATATCTGAGTGGCTACATGGGTGGGAAAGGAAGAGATGAAAAAGTTCTGGCACCCATTGTGTTGATCTGCATAGGTGAAATTCAGTGGTTGTTCGGTGAAGACAGTTGAGTGGTACATTTGGAATGAAAGAGATAAAGCCAGGCTTTATTTAGTTGGTATCTGTCTTTGTGGTTAAAGTTGTAAGGGTTGTTTGTTGTTTCGCTGACTTCCCAGCCTGGGGACAGTAGGTCAGATGTTGGCTATGACCTCTGCTCTGTCAAGGTTTGTGCTGTGTTTATTCTGTATGAAATGTTTGGCTACTGCTGAATCTCCAAATCTATAGAGGAACTTGTGCCCCACCCCAAAGATGGCAGCTGCAGTGTTGTTTGCCGATGTGTTGGAAAATGTTGCATACTGGTTATTCCCCAAAAGCAAAGTTATGTATTAAACTATGGCCATGAAAACCTAAGGCCAGTAAATCTCCCAAGTCACTGAATAGTTTCAAACGTGAAATAAATTATGCTTTCAGCATTTGAATCCAATATACACATAGGGCCATTAACAAGATGCTAGTTTTTTTTTTTATCTCTCTGGTGCCATCTTAGTTTCATGGATTTGTCTCATGCTCTTTGATGAGCTCCTTGACCTGGTCTTTTCTCTAAAACAGAAAACAGATGAATGCAAGGCTGCTACCTCCAAGTAGATCACATCTACCTCCTTCCAAATCCTTACTCATTCACAATTTATGGTAATTTTCATCTTATTTCATGCAGTAAGGAGGTGTTGAAATACCATTATTAAATGACTTAATAATCAGTCAGTCATCAGTTATTTCAGTTTACTGTGTATATTAAAAAGGATGTATACATTTCTAAATTCTGAATGTAATATGCCCATCTGACTGAAAGTGTTATGATAGGTTTTGCTGAACAGGTAGATAACAGTTCTGGTGCAATTTTATATTCAAAGCTCTGTGCTTTGTCATAGCACTGAATTGTAATTTGTTTATCCTTGTCAGCGGCAAAAATCTCTACAAGTGAAACGTCATTGCTTGGGTCACAACCACAGTATATGCGAAAACTTCTGTCAATTGTGAGGTGCAAGGTGCAGACAAACTCCATAGACATCACAATTAAGTTCACACTTAGTGCGCTGTGGAATTTGACAGGTGAGTTCATAACTAATTGACAAATGTTCTCTTAAAAACTGATGCTGTAATGAGAATGCTGTTTCAACGATTATTTTCTTATGCACTATCAATTTAATCATGTTAAGCATAGCAATATTCTTTGGTTTTAAAAAAGAATACGTGTCACATTTTTAACTGTAACGAGGGATTTTCTGTACTTTCTGGATTTGTGTAAACATATGTTTAACAAAAATGTCGCTTCACTGCCACTTCCTGTTCTTCATGAGTCAAATGGGCACTACTGGCAGCACAGCATTCTCACATCTTCACTCATTAGGGATGCAGGTGGAGAGAGAGAGAGAGAGGAAGAGGGACTCCAGTCTTCTCAATACATGTGCAGTATGGTAGCTGTCAGTGCATCACAGAAAATGACAAAGAAGACCATCAAATTATTTTCATCTTTACTCAATGGAGGTGCATCATGTGGTGCTTTTGAACCATTTACCACTCTCTAGTACTAGCTCAGTTTGTTCATCGTCACCCTCGAAATTTAGAAACAGTACTTAATTTTTTAGACATAGTCATACAGATGGGTGAGTCCACTTGGTTGGATAGCCTAGAGGGAGGTGGAGCAGGTGAGTTTGCTTCCTGGCTTTGTGCAGAACTTATCATCTCATATTAGTTATACTGCACTTTTAAGTGCAGGAATCATATTTTACTCATTGAGATTTTCTCCCCACCACTCTGCCATTTCCCATTACTTTCTGCTCATGGTCCTGATTTATATGAGATTTTCACAGGACAAACCTTGGAGTTTGTGCAGAACAATTTTCAGGAAACACAGCCTGGAAATCTGTGGAGTAGAATCCTATCCTGTTGCATGGAGACAAAACCAAGTGGAGTCTGAAGTCATTTGTTTAGAACATCAGTGTGAAAGGTGCACCCACCATTAACTCAATCAGTTACCATTTTGAGATCATCAGGAGTTTGTTTATGCACACAGGGCATTTATGTTACTTTTAATGATTGCTTTGAATCTATTGAAAAGACATCAAGTAAATAGGAAGGTACACACATTCACCACTTGTTAATTCATGGCTTCCAATCTCTACTTCCTCCTCCTCACAAAACAGCAGTATATTTTGTTATGCATTCTTTCTTATTTCTTACATGAATAGTAACAGCAATTTTGAAGTCATAGCATCTCCTGGAGCATTCAGACTTGGTCATACTTTAAAGTTTCTGTTTTAGCAGTTGTAGCTACAAATGTTTTCAAGAAACTGCACTCAAATGAAGAAATTATGCAAAACAGAAACTCAGAACTTATATACAGTTTCTGTTTTCAGGGGCGAGCCTTTTTTGTGACTCTTTTAACCTGCTTTCCTTATTTTGAAAAAAATAAAAGGCGGCTTATGAGGTCACCTTACTGTCTGTGTGTTCCCTCGACAACTTTTAAATGCAATGTGACAAGATGCCAGAAAGCCAGAAGATATGGCCGTTGCTAGTGGCTTGGTAAACATGTTCCCATGACAACAAATACACATACAACATTAGAAGAGCTGTTGTTTTTCTATGTGGTTCATGTTGCATCAGAGGAAAGAGGTTATTCTTCCCAAAACTTCTTGTGTATATAAGATTTCATCCTACTTATGTTTATTCTTAAGTCATAAAATTAACTGTTACACAGACCTACGTTAAGGTGATACACACAGATCGGCCAAAAATAGCTATACTGTAAGGACAAATTTTTTTGTCATAAAAGTCTTTAAAAATGAGGAGGAAATAATGAATTAGGTTGATCATACTCAGTTTTACATAGACATGAGTATAAAATTGACTGTACTTGTTCCCATACAAACACTGCAATTTCTGAGTTATTAGATATCAGTGAAGTTCTGTGTAGCTCGAATTTGTTATATAATTTGTCACTTCACACTTGTATGATATACATTCATTTTCAGTCATATACAGTCTGTCCTTTTCAATCTAAGTCAAAATATAACTTTATGTTGGAATTTAATCTGAATATTTGGAGTGGCCTTTCTGCTGTTTTTCTCTTTGGTGAGTAGCAGTGGTTGATCTGAAAGATTATACACAGAATATTATTTTTTGTAGGTTGTACAGTTAGATTAATATGGGTGTAAAGGATGGAATTTTATTTACTAATGTAGTAATGTGAATGTGACCACTCACCTTCATCTGATGCTGAGGGCAGGAAAGGTGGAGCCATACGTCCACTCCCCCATGTTGTCTTCATAGCTTAATGCTTAACTAATTAAGCACAGGGACAAATGTAGCATTTTTTATTACAATGTATCTTTGAAGGCAAGAATGTGGTGTAATAGGAATATGTGTCCTTGGAGAGTGTTTTTGAAAACTATGTAAGTGGATAGTAAGTTCTAGGGGTTGTAGCAAATAGACCAATATTGGAATTGGTGGTAAGGGCTGAAGTAGAAAAGCTGGCCAAATCCTTAACCACTTTTCAGTCAAGTTTTATATTATATATCCCGTTTTCCTTTTATCCATCCTAATTTTAATGACTATGCTGCCTTTTTTGTTTCATTGTTATTAGCTCTTTGACTGGCGCGGGCGTGTTTTAACGCCCGGACGNCTGGGATTTAAATACCCTTCACGCCAGTCAAAGAGTTAGTAATTAAGAGATTTATAAGGTGTACTTATAGTATATTGTTTGTAATCTTAAATCTTGTATAGGCTGACACAGAGATGAGTGTTAAAGAGATGAATAATATTTAAGATATTAAAAGAAATGTATTATAATTTTGACTTACAGATGAATCTCCCACAACATGCAGTGTGTTTTTAGAGGAAGGTGGCATGGACTTGTTTTTGGAAGTGTTAATGACATTTCAGGATGAATGTGCAGTTGAAACAAAAGTATTAGGTCTCATAAATAACATAGCAGAAGTATCCCAACTACGGCCACATCTCATGGTGCCAGGGTTCATGTCCAGGTTGAGGTAATGCATGCCATATTTATTTGTGCTGTGTTGCTGTGAGGGAAGTTTTGCTTATATCATATTGATCATGACGTATTTTAATGTGCAGGAAGCTGCTTCATTCTGACCACATTGATGTAAGTTATTTTGCTGCGGGTATCATTGCACATTTGGCAAGTGATGGTGCCGACACATGGATGGTTGAGACAGTGACAAGGCAAGAGCTGTTAGAAGAGCTGGTAAGTGTGTTGCCACTAATTGCAGTTTCCAGTTCATAATTACACGGTATATAATCTAAGTGCAGAATATTATGACATGTAGACTCATTTCTAGGCAATGCCTGAAATATGCACACGCACCAATAGAAAAGGTATTGCAGAAGTATTTTTATGTGGTCCACACCATGGCCATTGCTAGGCAACAGGTCACTAAACACATTCCTGCAGAAACAAATGCGCAGAACAGTAGGACATCTATTGCCAGGTAAAGAACCACTCAACATGCATTCCTGATAACAGAAAATGGTGTCTTCTATGGGGTCTGTGCTGAGGAATTATAAGAGGGCACAGAACAGTACAGTGGAGAACAAGAATGAGAATGGAACCTGTCGTAGTGATTTGTGAAGTGAGTAGATTAGCCATAGCGCTGTAATTGATTGTGATTAAGGGAGATTGTAAAAGGTGTTAATATATACAATCATCCAATCCAGAACCCGTTATTGTTAGTCATAGAGCCATAAACACGTGACAGTATTCATGAAGGTCTTCTGCACATTAAATTTTGTGAGGTTTAATGTATGGTATATACACGTGGTAGAAGCTGACTGTAAATATTACATGGAAGCACTTTCATTGAACATTACTGTCTCTGGGAATGTTATGTCATATGTACTTATCCTTACCAGTATTTTTGACGAGCCTCATACTTCCATCATCAGGGTGGATGGAGGTGGTAGGTTCCTGTGAAATGTTGGTTTTGATCCACCAGACTGCCCAGCATTGCTTGCCATAGCCATTGCTATGAGAATCTCAGATCTCAATTTTCATATAATCCATCATTTGCAATTAGATATAGCAGATATAGAAGGCCTTATTTATGTGTTATAATTTCAGTAATCTTGAAAGTGTTATTATTATTTGTAGTTGCAACTGGTGAATATCCAATAAATCGACTCACCAATCCAAACCCCATCTACTAGTCACCGATACACATGACAATATGTATGTTTGTGAGAAATTGTTTTAAAACGAGTTCCTCTGAACTACATATAGGTACAGTGAAGTGGTGTGTGTTCTTCACACTTTTGTAGCGACTATTTAGAATATTTTTCATTCGTCTATACTGCAGTGTATTCATGGTTGCATTTGAAGGTAAACAATGATTATTTTATGATTTCATGATTCATGCTCTATCTGATAAAAAATTTGGTTCCCTGTTCTGCAGGGTGAAGTAGTGTTAAACTGGGAGACACCAGAGGGTGAGATGGTTGCATACCGTTCATTTCACCCATTCTTCCCACTGCTGACTTGTCATGACGCATTCCAGGTGCAGTTATGGGCAGTTTGGGCCATTCAGCATGTCTGTACTAAAAATGGTAAGATATATTCCAGGTTTGCATTCTGAAATAGTTTGTACTTTTAAGCCTTTTTTGAGCCTAATTTACAATAAGAAAAAATCCACCGTCAGTTAATGGAAGGAATCTGAATATAAGAATATGAGTTTTGTTCAGGGTCATACTAATAATGGTAAAATTTAAATTGATATTCCTCTTACTATAAATGTTGGTCTAGAGGTGAAACTTTAGACTTATGACATGGCCTGCACCTGAGCTCTTGAGGCAAGAAGAGGCTCACACAGCTTATTGCTGAGGGGGTTGTTGGTGGTCATGTGTCAGGTATAACCGGTATTCCTGTTACAACCAATGCTAGGGCGTCTCCTTTTTTTAGATTAAATTCAAAAGCACCAAGATGCATAACATATATTAAAATGCAGTTCAGCAGTCTTGGAAATTCACAGACAAAGTGCAGAAACATTAAATTCAATAAATATCTTTCACCAAAATATCAGAGGCTTGAGAAGCAAAAGTGATGAATTACTACACTCTTTTCAAATAGACAACATAAACCCTCACATATTATGTTTAAGTGAGCATCACATGGTTGAACAGGAATTGCTGCTCCTCTCAATGAATGGTTACCTGTTAGGCTCAAGTTTTTGCTGAAAGAGCCTACAGAGGGGAGGAGTGTGTATTTTTGTTAAGACAGATCTACATTTCAGTAAAGTTGATGTTTCTCAACACTGTAAGGAGCAAGACTTTGAAATCTGTGCAATACTGCTAGTAATTCACTCAGTGGGGAGTGGAATGCAACTGGGTCCACTCAGCACAGTGGCCACTGATTGGCCTATTGTAGCCTCTCCCGGGTGATTATGATGATGGAGAATTTGGTGGAATGAAGATTGGCAGGGGAAACCGAAGTACTCGGAGAAACCAAGCCCCAGCGCCACTTTGTCCACCACAAATTCCACTTGACCAGACCCGGGATCGAACCCGGGCCACCATGGTGGGAAGCCAGTGACTAACCGCTTGAGCTTTGGCACAGCCCAATACAGCGGGTAACTAAACATCTCACCTAATTATATTAAGCCTGTACAGAGCTTTTTCAGGAGAGGTTAATGAATTTCTAAGGAGACTAGATGCAACTTTCAAATATCTGTCCAATCCAAAGTCTGAGTTTATAATCTGTGGAGACATAAACTTAAACTATTTAAATGAAAGCAGCCAGGAAAAAACAGGTAAACTCTTTAATAAGGAAATACAGTCTGTCACACACACAGTGAATTTTGCAACAAGACTTCAAAATTCCTCAAGCATAGCCATTGATAATAGTGTGACGTATTTGCGCTATGTAGGACACCCCCTCCCCCACCAGCGGTGACGTAACACCTTCGGAGCATTGCCGCTGCTGCGGTAATAGGCCAGTTAACACCCCTCCCCCTCCCGTGGTGACGTTACCAAGGGATGCTGCGGTTGCTACAGAGCAGTAAACAACTCTCAACAGTGTTGCTAGGCAGGCAGTAAACATGACGTCACGCAACAGGCGAGTTGTGCAATGACTGTTGCTAGGAAATCGGTAAACACGATGGTACTAAACAGTGGTACCTATTACGTAACTGTTTTCTGTGTTATCCATACCGAGGCTAAATAAGTAGTAGCGAACACTATTCAGTAGTGAGTTGAATTGAGTTGAGTTGAAATGTAGCCACCACCGGAGACAGTTGAATTGGAACAGTCCCAGAGTTCAGTTGTAGCGGAAAGAAGAATACCGGAACGTGTGATTAGAAGTGACAGTGTGAGAAGCAGATGCTTGGCTGACAAGAGAAGTAATTGGGAGTGTGTAATACAGTGACACTTGTATAGCTCCCTTATCGTACTGTGAATACGTATAGACTATTGAGGACAGAGTGGACAGATTATTGTCTAGGGTTGTAAATTGTGTAAACCCGTAATAGTGTTATAATTAATTGTAGGCAAGACTTGTAGGTTGTTAAATAAACCACTTAACAATCCGAACGACGTCTTCGGTAACAAAACACTTTACAATATCTTTATAGATAATGCAAGGTTAAGCTCTTCTTGTACATCTCCTATAGTCAGTGGCCTCTCTCACCATGATGCTCAATTTCTTGTAGTAAATAATATTATTGTGGAAGTAAATTTAACACCCTTGAGACAGAGAACCAGAAAAATAAATAGTGAAACAATTGCTCAATCTCAACATCTATTAGAAAATGAAATGTGGGAACCTGTTTTCAAAAATAAGGATACAAATTATAAGTTTAACTCCTTTTTATATATTTTTCTAAATATCTTTGAAGCCAGTTTTCCTATGCAGAATAAAAGTGTAAGAATAAAAAATCACTGGATTACACAAGGAATAAAAAATCTTGTAAACATAAAAGGCGTCTGTATGTAGACAGCAGGAGCAGTAATAATACCTACATGAGAACATATTACATAAGGTATTGCAAAATCCTGAATAGAGTTATAAAAGAGGCTAAAAGGCAGCATTACTGTAGGCTTATAGCAACATTGAATAATCAGATAAAAACAACCTGGAATATAATAAAACATGAAACAGGAAAATGACATCTAACTGAACAGATACCATCTCTGCTTATAAGTGATGAAAAAGTTGATGACCCAGGAGAAATTTCAGATGCCTTCAATACTTTTTTTCTGACAATTACAGAAAATCTAAACTTGCATCAGGAAGTGGGAGATAATGCCATTTCATTTTTAAGAGAGGCATTTCCTAGAAAATTCCCTGGTATTAAAAAAAAACTGAAACTGAAATAAAAAGTATAATACATTCCCTCAAAACAAAAAACTCTTCAGGTTATGATGGAATAACAAGTAAAATTTTAAAAGGTTGTGCATCTCTAATCTAACTCACATCTGTAATCACTCACTATCCACAGGAATCTTTCCTGATCTTCTTAAGATTTCAGTAGTAAGACGGTATGAAAACTAAATTACTGTATTTATACAGAAGGAAAGGGATACAATATTTAGTAAAAGCTGGGTTTTGTTTGTCTGTTAACATTAAACAGAGTATGCAGGGTTGTGTCCTGTAGTACGTACAAAAACTTACCGCTGACTTTAAGTCTGCTTACATAATTCACAGCATTAGTATTCACCACACGGTAAATCTTACTCAGTGCATTAAGAATCACTTAGAATCAGAAATGTATGGGTTGAAAGTAAAATGAAAAATGTGTTTGCAGCAAAGCGATACTGCCCAATGCTGATGGAAGAAGGAGGCAGTGTTATCCTGCACCACCTGCACAATAATACTGAGGTGAATCCCAATGTCAGAGATATTTGTCAGAACATTCTTGAAGTTCTGGCAGCAGAGCGATACAGTTCAGAATTATTGTCCCCACAGATGTAATGTGATCAGGACATCATAATGGTTACAGCGACAATGCACAAGAGTGAACCATCACACAGTAGATTCTGTGTTATTGTACTAATAAAACTAAATGTCATTCAGATGATATGACTGTTATAAAATTGAATGAAGTTTAATTGAACATTGTAAGCGAAATATGCTTAAACTGGGAATGGACTGAGAGTTGTGTTACTCATTGAATCAATGTGTTGGATACAAAAATGGCATAATTAAAAAATGGACCATAAATATGAAGGTGACTTGGTTTCTGCATGTTAAATTTAACAAATACAAAATGGTAGTAATCTGATGAGAAAGTGAATTGTTTAATCTGACACAAATACATTGATAGGGCTGCTTTGAAAATTAAGTTACATCTGTGGTATTGTTCCATTCTGATACTGATTTTAAATTACTGTATATCTGTTGCCTGGTAGGAAATATTCACCTTTGCTTAAATCGTTTTCAGATATCATTTTTGCCTAAAAAGATCAGACAGATGTGCCACAGGTAATATGGTAAGAAAATGTTCTGGTCAATGGTACACTCTTAAGTAAATCAACTGTAGAGACCATGAATTCAAAACTGCCAATCATGGATGCATATAATATGGTAAAGAAGAAAAAAGAACAGCGTATGTTTATTTAAGTGTACTCTAATCAACTTTGACTAAATTAATTTAAACTGTAGGTCATGTGTGATAAAGACAGTGGGACTTGGCCTTTTCCATGATATCACTGTACACTGATAATGCTGCTTCATTTTGAGTTTCTGAAGTCAAAAGATTACTTTTTGCATATATTCCTACTGTAATATGGTGATATGCCACAGAGTTGGCTTGAAAGGACAAGAAGTGCTAGAGGGCTTTCTTATTTCTGTAAAATACCAAAGAAATTCAAAGCAGAAGAGAGCCCTCATTTTGAAGAAAGATATCGTGCTTATAACACTTGTAATGAAAACATGGCCATTCAGGTGTTGTGCTGCCAATATGAAAAAATAACATTTCTTCTTAATCACTGTTGTGTATAATAATAATAATAATAATAATCAGCTATAATTTAAGATGCAGTAATCTGTTCAGTGTACTTGCTTTATTTGTGGAAGTGATGAGGGTGGCTCTTGTTATAAAACTTTGTTGCAGCAGTGAATGAACATATGTATATGGCTTCATCCCGTCTTAAGACATACAGCGTAGTGGGGTTTGTCAGATACCATTTTGTTGTTTAAAGTTTTTTCATTATGGTATTTTTTAAACTTGTTTCCTACCACACTATTGTTGTTATTCTCTGTTTAGTTATTATATTTAAGTATTCTTGATGTCTGATCATTCAGGGCAGCAAATTCTGATACCACTACCTGGTGGTGGCAAATGTTAGGGAAAGACTGGCAGTGAGTAAACAAACAACACACTGAGTTCATATGGAGAGGTTCAATCTCAAGAAAGTAAATGAGGTAGAGAGGTAGAGGGTAAAGAGCAGTATTGTGTTGAAATCTCAAACAGGTTCATGGTTTTGGAAAACTTAGACATTAAGGTGGATGTTTATTAAGCTTGGGAAACTATCTGAATAACATTTCTGCCAAAGAGAGTCTAGGTTATTATTAACTGAAGGAGCATACGCCATTGTTCAATGAAGGATGCTCAAAATTATTAGACAAAGAAAACAAGACAAATTGCAGTGGCTACAGGATCCAAGCGAAGTAAATGGGGATAATGAGACATGAAACCAGCAGGCATTTCAGGAATAGAAGGGAATATTTGAAAGACAAAACTGATGAGCTTGCAGTGAAAATTAAGAACAAGAACATTAGAGACCTGTGTAGAGGAATAAACAACTTTAAGAGGGATTACCAACCTAGAAGTAACTTAGTGAAGGATGAGAATGGTGATCTTGCAGATTCCCACAACGCTTTGAATACACAGAAGGAAGAACTACTTCTCTCAGTTATTCGATGAACATAGAGTCAGTGATGTTAGGCAGATAGAAATACATACAGCTGAGCCATTAGTACCTGATCCTAGCCCTTTTGAGGTTGAAATTGCTATTGCAAAAGTGAAAAGGTATATACTCGTATCTCCCGGTAGTGATCAAATTCCAGCAGAACTTATTCAAGCAGGAAGCAAAATATGTTCTAAGATCCCTAAGCTGATTACTTCTATTTGACAGAGGGAAAAATTGCCTATCAGTGAAAGAGGCTATTATTGTACCAGTTCACAAGAAGGATGATAAAACTGACTAGTAATTTCCAGGGGATATCACTGCTATCAACTTCATACAAAATTTTGTCTAATATTCATCTCTCAAGGTTAAGTCCATACATATATGAAATTATTGGGGATCATCAGTGTGGGTTTCAATGTAATAGACCAACTACTGATCAGATACTTGAGAAATAATGGGAGTACAATGAGACAGTATATCCGCTATTTGTAGACTTAAAAAAAGCCTGTGTAAGATTTGAGGCTTTCACGGCGGTGACTATGAAGAATGCAGTCTTCTGGGATTTGGCACCGTGTATATGTGGTGTTAACCGACGTTTCGGAGGAACGTATCGCCCCCATCTTCAGGGTTGAAGAAAAAGTATAAGTAAATCTGCAAGCGACAACACCGTGAGACACGATAAAGCAGACTAAAGAGTATACCGTTAGAGCAGAGAGGGAAGGGGATGAACTGCAAGTGAACAAGTGAAAGCAGTGGTGTGGGAGGGGTGGGGGAAGGGAGCCGGGACAAGCGATTTTGTGTAGGGGAGAGATAGCAAGGTTAACTGGCTGGGCTTTAACTGTGAGCTGAG